GATGCGGACCAGGCGGTTTCGTCGAGCTTTTCATGTGGTACTCGGTGTACGGATGGGGCGCTCCTGCCATTATATCCGGGGCCTGGGTTGTCGTCCATCGCCTGCTCTGACAGGCAGGGACACACTGGTGATATACCGACACTGCCTGCCTACAGCGTCGGCGCTTTGTTGCTGGTGGCTGCACCCATTTCGATTTGATGATGGCGAACGCGGTCCTCTTTATCTTGACTGTGGTCGGTATCAGGCGAACAGGAAGTCAACCAGCATGGTGATGAAGGACAAGAGAAAGCTGGAAAGACTAAAGATGGAGGGTTGCTCTCTGCATCAAGGTAATTATTCTTTGCATATCTGGGAACACTGTTGACAAAACGATGCTCTGGTACTTCAGACTTGAGGCGAAAATTAAGAATAACAATTTGGCTGAAATGACAAAACAGCTAAAATCTGTTACAAGTTCCCAGCCGAAGATTTGCTCATCTTTTCTGATTGGGACTTGAAATAACCCGTTTTATAATTATTTGCAATTCTCAAAATTAGATATACTTAAAGTCCCATATAAAAACCGGTAAGGACTAACTGATGAGATGGTCGAAGTAGTCCAAGGGATACGTGATAACCCGCCGTATTATCACAACCCACGATCCCCGTCGAAACGAGGGAAATTCGTAAAATAGCCCCCCCCCCCGAAAAAATGGGGTAAAACTAGTGCGCATGCGCTGCTTCTACAGGCAATTACGGGCCATTTTCAGACCCACGCAAAATACAATTCAATTCAATTCAATTCAATTTATTCATTCAATATTTTAACCCAGTCCTGTAATTGGCGTTTTTTTCTGCTGTTGGATGTGGATAATAAATAAATAAATAAATTCATCATGGCAGCGTGAAATTCTACTTCTCTGTTTGCACATAAATATTCAATTACCCACAATACAGAAAATTTAATATAGAAACATTAACACGTTAAAACGTTCAATGAAAAGGTACTAAATTAAATAATAAAAGTGTTTCTCAAAATAAGTAAAACCCTAAAAACACCCCCATGGACCACATTGAACGGGTTGCCCAGGGGACAAAGGAAGGTAAGCTGGAAGATAAATAATTATTAGGCCAAGAGGTGCGCGCGCATTACAAAAAAAATACGAATTTCAAACGATGCTCAAAAACTTCTGCCACCCTACTTTTTTCTGGTGCACACAGCTTTAAACATAGTTTTATTTCAACAGGTAGCCTTTCAGTTATGTAAACTGCTATTCTTAAGGGCCCTAGCCTATTACATTAAAACAAGTTATTGAATGAAACCAATAAAAAAAATTAAACAAAACCGAAATTCTTAAATAATAAAATGACAATATTAAAAGAGTTTTTAAAAATATATAAAAATAAAAATATATAAAAATCAGAAATTACTTAAGTAACAGGACCAAATCTATTAGCAAAAAGAAGAGAAAACTGTACCCATAGTCGACTAGAGTATATAGTCCAACCACACTGGGTCCGAGCATAGTAATTATAGTCGAGATATATGGTTAATGTATAGTTATAACTTGCTCTGAGTTAAGCCAACCGCGGTTAAAGCTGTTTTGTTTTATACAACACCTAGCCTTGACCAAGGCTATCAGCTTGTTCCCGCTACCGCACACCGCGCGCGCCGCGACACAATCACTAGTTGTACTATACTGTTAGCCTCAACGACCCTGCGTGTGCTTTGTGTGCATGCACGTACGCCCCACACACACTTCCGCAAACAGCCGTACAGTAAGTCGAGGCGGAAGGTCAAATCGTACCCATTTAATCGAATAATTATGCAGGTTAAAGGGAATATACAACATTTGCAAACATCGAAAAATAAAACTACCAAGTTTTACGAAATACCTTACTAGGATGTTGTGTAAATGACAGTCTAAAGCATCCTGTAAAATTATGGCACCTGGTGTGAAGTCATTTTCAAGAAAAATGGTATTTTTGTATACATTTCCAACGGTGGTCGGCCGACCACCGTTGGAAAAACCTAACTATTTTTAAACTACTGCTCCAACTTTACACTTTTTTCAGTCCAAATTTTATTTGCTATTGCATGGTTACATTCATGAACGGGTGCAGGCCAGCTAGACTGGTTCCCTTACCTTACAATTTCCGGCATCTATAGATTGATCCATTTTATCTTTAGTGGAGTCAGGGAACCAGACTACTTGAACATTTTTGTTTTTCTTGGTTTTCCAGCATTTTCGAACACAAAACTTCAAAACATGTCAGTGAAACAATATTTGATCTATTATACTAACCCCTCAAATAGTTCATTTCTGAAAATTACAGCAAAAGCCAATGATGTACATTCCCTTTAACTCGTATCTATACGCACCCGTATGAATTAACTGCAAGAAACGAGCTATTGACTTTGGGATGGAAATATACGAAACTGTCAGGTACATGGTGACAAAAAAAATCTCCCTGAATTCGTACCATGTGCAAATTACATCTCATACGTACACGCGTTCGTATGAATCGTATGTCGTGCCATGAAGCCTTTTTATAGCTCCATGGTCGTACCTACGACATACGTACGACATGTAAGTCGTAGATGTAAATCGCACGAGATACAAGTCGTTCTCACAAGATATGTTGTATGTACGACATAATCGACAAACAAGTCGAACATACGAGTTACAATTCATATTTTGTACACACGAGATATTAAGTCGTACTTATATACGACTTTGTCGTATGCGACATATATCGTACCCTGTCGACTCTACTTATGCACGACATATATGTCGTACCGGCACCTGTCGACATTATGTCATATGTTTGATATGTCATACCCTGTCGACATATATGTCGTACCCTGTCGATGATATTAGTCGTACCCTGTCGAAATATGTCGTACCCTGTCGATATATTAGTCGTACATACGACATATAATTATAAGTTGTTCATACAAGTTAAAATCAGTCTTACAGAATAAGTTTGCTGAAGGAGGGATATTTTTTTCCCGCATCCCCTTGACAGCTTAGAAGAAATCCCCCCCCCCCCGAAAAAAAAATCAGCGGTAGATATACTCAATAGTGTGAGCGCTTTTTTGCCGCTGAACGTGAAAGCGCAGCGTGTCTTATTGCATGGCGCCAGCCGGGCCGGTGCCTACAGTGGACGGCCTCAACGTGGCCTCTGTGCATGCTGACATCGTTTTTTTCCGGCGTGCGGTTTTGTACCGTTTGCCGTTTTTTGAAGGTCTAATTTTTCATCCTTTTCATTTCATTTTCGACCCAAACTATGTGTAACTTTATAAATATTATTCTACTATTATTTAAGATTTTAAGGGGGTGTTTTGCAATAATTATTGTTACCACAGGCTGTCTGGTTTAAAAACCTTTGGTCGTATTATGCAATTTAATAAATATTCATTTTTTTGTCCGCCGTTATCCAATGAGAGAAGACTATTTACCATAGCGCGTACTAATTATCATATTCAGCATACACGGTTGCGTCAAGGCTATCTAAGGGTGCATACCTGCAAATAAACTCCCATAGACACTAGTGCTAAATGCCCATACTTCAAAATTCTTTTAAAAATACTCAAAACTCTCACAGGTATTCAAGCTGCACAGAAAAATGATGATCAATGTGTCATCTTTCAATTTCTTTTCAATTTATGGTGGGTTGACCATTGACTTTTCGAGATATTTTCACGCAAAGAAGACGACCCCTATTTTCCCCAAAGCGGAAAAGTAGCCATCTTTAAAAAACGATCCCTCCACAACATGGCAAAATAGCGCCACTTTCGAGCCCAATAGCATCCAAAATGCTCAGAATTGGAAGCCCCAAGTCCGGGCCAGAGGTTCACTACCGTATCTCTTCAATTCCCCAATTTTACGGCGCTCAGAACTCTCTAATATAGAATATTTGAGGGTATAACTTTTATTCATGAGCTTGGCGGATCTATTTACCGGTGTGTACCCTATAATAGCAGGCAACTTTTAAATTTTAACACAAAATCACATTCAGGACAAGCAGAATATCTCCAAAGTCAATATTTTGAAAAAAAAAATGAAAGCAAAATATTATCCGAGGTCGATATTAAGCCCGAAAATAGTGATTGTTTTGCCCCTGCTAAGCTGTAGAGCGCCCCCAGCGACAATAAATTGAGTTCCAGCTACTTTTCAGCTCAAAATGCCCCCCCCCCCTTTCAACTATCAATTGTTGTAATCGTGTGATAGCCTACTGCTCCCTTATGATTTGGAAGCATCCGTTACGGGAAAAAAAACCTTGTTGATACCTTTAAAACACTTTTTCCTCCTCCCCGTAGGTTCCGCCCACTGAAAAGACCACTGCCGCGGCACAGCGCATGCGCGAAACAGCCATCTTTGTGATTCTTTATAGGGTGCATACCTGCAAATAAACTCCCATAGACACTAGTGCTAAATGCCCATACTTCAAAATTCTTTTAAAAATACTCAAAACTCTCACAGGTATTCAAGCTGCACAGAAAAATGATGATCAATGTGTCATCTTTCAATTTCTTTTCAATTTATGGTGGGTTGACCATTGACTTTTCGAGATATTTTCACGCAAAGAAGACGACCCCTATTTTCCCCAAAGCGGAAAAGTAGCCATCTTTAAAAACGATCCCTCCACAACATGGCAAAATAGCGCCACTTTCGAGCCCAATAGCATCCAAAATGCTCAGAATTGGAAGCCCCAAGTCCGGGCCAGAGGTTCACTACCGTATCTCTTCAATTCCCCAATTTTACGGCGCTCAGAACTCTCTAATATAGAATATTTGAGGGTATAACTTTTATTCATGAGCTTGGCGGATCTATTTACCGGTGTGTACCCTATAATAGCAGGCAACTTTTAAATTTTAACACAAAATCACATTCAGGACAAGCAGAATATCTCCAAAGTCAATATTTTGAAAAAAAAAATGAAAGCAAAATATTATCCGAGGTCGATATTAAGCCCGAAAATAGTGATTGTTTTGCCCCTGCTAAGCTGTAGAGCGCCCCCAGCGACAATAAATTGAGTTCCAGCTACTTTTCAGCTCAAAATGCCCCCCCCCCCCTTTCAACTATCAATTGTTGTAATCGTGTGATAGCCTACTGCTCCCTTATGATTTGGAAGCATCCGTTACGGGAAAAAAAACCTTGTTGATACCTTTAAAACACTTTTTCCTCCTCCCCGTAGGTTCCGCCCACTGAAAAGACCACTGCCGCGGCACAGCGCATGCGCGAAACAGCCATCTTTGTGATTCTTTATAGGGTGCATACCTGCAAATAAACTCCCATAGACACTAGTGCTAAATGCCCATACTTCAAAATTCTTTTAAAAATACTCAAAACTCTCACAGGTATTCAAGCTGCACAGAAAAATGATGATCAATGTGTCATCTTTCAATTTCTTTTCAATTTATGGTGGGTTGACCATTGACTTTTCGAGATATTTTCACGCAAAGAAGACGACCCCTATTTTCCCAAAGCGGAAAAGTAGCCATCTTTAAAAACGATCCCTCCACAACATGGCAAAATAGCGCCACTTTCGAGCCCAATAGCATCCAAAATGCTCAGAATTGGAAGCCCAAGTCCGGGCCAGAGGTTCACTACCGTATCTCTTCAATTCCCCAATTTTACGGCGCTCAGAACTCTCTAATATAGAATATTTTGAGGGTATAACTTTTATTCATGAGCTTGGCGGATCTATTTACCGGTGTGTACCCTATAATAGCAGGCAACTTTTAAATTTTAACACAAAATCACATTCAGGACAAGCAGAATATCTCCAAAGTCAATATTTTGAAAAAAAAATGAAAGCAAAATATTATCCGAGGTCGATATTAAGCCCGAAAATAGTGATTGTTTTGCCCCTGCTAAGCTGTAGAGCGCCCCCAGCGACAATAAATTGAGTTCCAGCTACTTTTCAGCTCAAAATGCCCCCCCCCCCCTTTCAACTATCAATTGTTGTAATCGTGTGATAGCCTACTGCTCCCTTATGATTTGGAAGCATCCGTTACGGGAAAAAAAACCTTGTTGATACCTTTAAAACACTTTTTCCTCCTCCCCGTAGGTTCCGCCCACTGAAAAGACCACTGCCGCGGCACAGCGCATGCGCGAAACAGCCATCTTTGTGATTCTTTATAGGGTGCATACCTGCAAATAAACTCCCATAGACACTAGTGCTAAATGCCCATACTTCAAAATTCTTTTAAAAATACTCAAAACTCTCACAGGTATTCAAGCTGCACAGAAAAATGATGATCAATGTGTCATCTTTCAATTTCTTTTCAATTTATGGTGGGTTGACCATTGACTTTTCGAGATATTTTCACGCAAAGAAGACGACCCCTATTTTCCCCAAAGCGGAAAAGTAGCCATCTTTAAAAACGATCCCTCCACAACATGGCAAAATAGCGCCACTTTCGAGCCCAATAGCATCCAAAATGCTCAGAATTGGAAGCCCCAAGTCCGGGCCAGAGGTTCACTACCGTATCTCTTCAATTCCCCAATTTTACGGCGCTCAGAACTCTCTAATATAGAATATTTTGAGGGTATAACTTTTATTCATGAGCTTGGCGGATCTATTTACCGGTGTGTACCCTATAATAGCAGGCAACTTTTAAATTTTAACACAAAATCACATTCAGGACAAGCAGAATATCTCCAAAGTCAATATTTTGAAAAAAAAAATGAAAGCAAAATATTATCCGAGGTCGATATTAAGCCCGAAAATAGTGATTGTTTTGCCCCTGCTAAGCTGTAGAGCGCCCCCAGCGACAATAAATTGAGTTCCAGCTACTTTTCAGCTCAAAATGCCCCCCCCCCCCTTTCAACTATCAATTGTTGTAATCGTGTGATAGCCTACTGCTCCCTTATGATTTGGAAGCATCCGTTACGGAAAAAAAAACCTTGTTGATACCTTTAAAACACTTTTTCCTCCTCCCCGTAGGTTCCGCCCACTGAAAAGACCACTGCCGCGGCACAGCGCATGCGCGAAACAGCCATCTTTGTGATTCTTTATAGGGTGCATACCTGCAAATAAACTCCCATAGACACTAGTGCTAAATGCCCATACTTCAAAATTCTTTTAAAAATACTCAAAACTCTCACAGGTATTCAAGCTGCACAGAAAAATGATGATCAATGTGTCATCTTTCAATTTCTTTTCAATTTATGGTGGGTTGACCATTGACTTTTCGAGATATTTTCACGCAAAGAAGACGACCCCTATTTTCCCCAAAGCGGAAAAGTAGCCATCTTTAAAAAACGATCCCTCCACAACATGGCAAAATAGCGCCACTTTCGAGCCCAATAGCATCCAAAATGCTCAGAATTGGAAGCCCCAAGTCCGGGCCAGAGGTTCACTACCGTATCTCTTCAATTCCCCAATTTTACGGCGCTCAGAACTCTCTAATATAGAATATTTTGAGGGTATAACTTTTATTCATGAGCTTGGCGGATCTATTTACCGGTGTGTACCCCTAAGCTTCCGCCTCGACTTACTGTACGGCTGTTTGCGGAAGTGTGTGTGGGGCGTAAGTACATGCACACAAAGCACACGCAAGGGTCGTTGGGGCTAACGGTATAGTACAACATTGTGTCGCTGCGCGCGCGGTGTGCGGTAGCGGGAACAAGCTTATATGGGAACAAGTTGATAGCCTTGGTCAAGGCTATACAACACCTGAATGAATCCCCGTCATCTGCTTGGTGGATCGTTGACATGATCACATGTCATTGAATTATTCGTCGCCGCGCACGGCACGGCCGCGCCACTTGTTTTATTGCACGGTGAATAGAACTTCCATTTGCACGGTTTCATTACTGCCGGTGGTGGCGCTGTTATTACGAATCTGATTCACAGAATGTCAAATTGGCAGACGATTCGCGAGAATCTTCGTTTTTTTCTCCGAAGAAATATCGGAACTGTATGTAAATGCTGACGCTGCAAACACACAGAAGCAAATAAGATTTGCTGCCAAACAATTAGACGAATTTGGATATGGTAGATCTGAACTTGTCGAGCACAGTTTTGGAAGGGGCCCCCCCATTTTTCTGAAAAAGTAGAACATTGATGTAAGTACCAGTTCACAAGTCAACCAATCAGATGACAAGGATTTATTCAGGTGTTAAAATTAAACAAATAATGAATGTTTCATATTCGTGCATGTAAAAGCATAATTTTATTCGATGCATCAGATGAATTTTCCATTCCACTCCGCATCGCCTCGTCGAATGGAACATTCATCTGTAATTATTCTTACCATTGCACTCACAAACATTCATTATATGTATAATAGCCGTCATGCAAGCATCTCAAAAAGGCTGAGTGCGCTCATTTTTGTTGTCATTCCTCTTCTCGTTTTCTCAGATCTTAGTTGCGACAGGGATGACCTGGATTCTCATCTTCATATTGGGGTACGCATATGCGGATGGCTTCTCCTATCTCTTCAGCATCTTGATCTCAGTCCAAGGACCTCTTCTCTTCTTCTGCTTCGCCTTCACGGAGCGAGTCCGTGGCATGTGGCGGATCAGGATCTCTGGGCTCTTGACGCGCCGGTCCAGGGCTGGGACATCGGCAGGCGCTGGCGCATCTACGATGTCTACAGCTTCCCGGTTGCAGACCAGTAAATAGGCCCCAAAATTGCCGACCAAATCACGATTTGTGCACTGTTGATCGCTGTCTCAATAGAGAGTTTTGTGGCCCTTGCCCTAGAAGAGGTGGGGGAGGGGGTAGAAATGTAGGGGCCTTGATCATGAACAAGACTTTGAGCATGTTTTTCTGAGAAAAAAGTGGATTAAAGTCGATCTGTTTTGCAATTGAGTTGATGAATCATTTCCCGATGGGCTTCAGGACTATACTTTTACTCGTGATCATTTTTGGAGGGAAATATCACCCGAAAGTAGTTGGTTAACCATCTCAACCCTCCCCAACCAATGGACAGAAAATGAAATAGGGTAAATCAAGCTTTAATTTGTGTATGTCTTAAACACATTGGAGAATTGGGAGCAATCTACCCGATTTGTTGAAGTGGTGCATATGCGAATTTATGTACTGGTCTGCTCGCTGTACTAGAGAGTTGTTACGGAATATAGAGGTAGTATATGGGCATACATTGTGTGTTATTGGTTGGAAACGGCCATGGGACTACAGAGAGGAAATCTCCCGTTCGTGATAGGGATGGAACTAGCGAGGCGAGTGTTCTTAATTTTTCATATTTAGTTATTCTGACTTTTCTTTGCAATTGATCACACACCTGTGAAGGGGTACAAGCCTGCTAGACTGATTCTCTGACCTGACAATTCCCCAAAGTGTATTAATTGCTTCGTTTCATCTTAAGTGGGGCCAGGGAACCAGACTACAAGAACTTTTGAATGAGACCTCGAACGAAAAAAGAAAGAAAGATGTCGGCTCACCTTTAGTTTTGTCATAATTGCTTTACAAATCTCAGATTATCCGGGGATCGACAGTAATTCAGTTGTCGCAGGATAGACTAGTTCCCCCATCAGAATCGATACTGTAGGGACCCGGAGTTACGCAGAAGCAACCCAAATAAAATACCTTTTTGTCCGAGGGTTACAAATGCAAAAAAAATAAGAGGGGGGGGGGGGGGCGAGTAGTTTTTAACCGGATTAAATCAAACAAAGTTGAAAACGCATTATGGAGTTTTAAAAAATAATAATAATTAAAAAAAAAAAAAAAAAAAAAAATCGAAATTTTCAAGAGCACGGACAGTACATACAACCATCGATTCTTTGCCTTCAAAGAATGATCTGTTTTCAGTTGTTTTCATTTACAAATATATCACTATGAACTAAGTCTTGAGGTAGTTTTGCATCTATTGCATGCCATGGGAGTCACTACCAGTACTGCCCAATGCATACAAATCAAGTTAGCTAGTATTTACTTACAAAATATGATCGGTCTATATAACACTGTAAGCATGCAATGACATGCATAGAAATATTCATATTTAAGTATAATAAAATCAATTCCGGTATGGTGATCAGGGACCGGATTCAGACGAGGACGAATATCAATTAGTCGAATAATTGGGTATTTTCAAAATTGGGTATTGATTTATGCTATTTTGATTCAGCAGTCAATTGTTTATCTTGAGTTTGCCTATAATTATGCTAATACCTAAGCTCTAAACATCACCACAACCCCGCTTCTAATTGAAGCATATTGAATTTTGATGAACTTGGGCCAGTCAAAAAAAAAGTGCTTACTGCTGCTTATGTCAAGGCATCCAGAGGTCAGTTGCATGTAGCCTAATTATGTAAATGGTTGCTCTGAAATTTAAAAAAAAAATCACTGTAACATCGGTTCTGGGCCTTATCGGCAAATTTTGCTAGTTCATGGTCAAAATAGTGCCGAATCGTACTCTGAATGCAAGTAAATATTAGGACCGGATTCAGACGAGGACGAATCGTTAATTAGTCCCATCTATTAAAGAAAACGGGTTTATTTAAGGCAGTGGCGAGTTCATCCGGGCATTAAATGAGGCACCGTACAATAGACATGACCCATTGTGTCCACGCGGACGCGAGCGCAAGAAAAACAAAATTATCACCAGTTGTTTTGTTATTGTCAACCCATGTCAACATAAACATCCTCTTCGCTGGATGTTTGCACTTGACCATCAGTAGTAAACTGAATCAAAAGCTTCGTGTTGTCTACATTGTGGTAATATTTTCATACCAATCAAATCAATTTCACCCCGACGGTCGGATAGGTAATTAAGACTATAATTTATACTTCAGGACTAATGGGGATTGTTAAGGCTTGCGTGCGTAGGGAGTTTCGTTTCGTAATTATCGGCATCCAGCGAAATCGCTCAGGAATGTCGAGCATTACAACTTGCATCGCGTAAGCGCGAACATCTACCGGGAGAATTATAGAAATTGAGTCGCATGTGTGTACCCATTTCGGAGTTTAAGCCCTGATGTTGGACAGAATAACAGTTTGACTTTGGACTTCAGAGCACCATGAACGACTAGAAGGAGGTGAGTGTTTGTTTTTGTACCGGTATATGTTTCAAAATGGCTCTCCTATTGCTATTTTCGAATTTCACCTCCAAAATGGTTCCGTTTTCAAAATGTTATTTTTTAGGAGTACTAAAATTATTCGCTCAATGAGACATTTAAGAAAAAAATACGAAGACGTTTAGTTATGGAAACTGTTCAATGAATAAATTATGTGCGGCCCGGCAATAATTCAGGCATATCTTTTGTGCGTTACGGGAGCAAATCCAAAACAAAAAAAGTTCATTTTCAGACTGTTAAAACATCTCAAATAGAAAAGGGTCGCCTTCTCCGGTTAAAAAGAAAACAAAGATTAAAAAGCCGTTAGGAAAAAGAAACACATGTTGAAGAGCATGGGTAGATCAACTTTAAAGATTTTGCGATAAAGAAGTAGTTGTATTGTACTATTTTGAGACCATTGTTGCTATGTGTAAGATGTACAGATCTCAGCATATTGCATGGCACCTCCAGAGTTCCGTAGATTTTATTAGTTGCTACCATAATAAGTTTGCCAGCAGATCGTTATCTTTTCTAAATACACTTGTTAACTTCGTGTATTTTGATAAATTGGTTAAGATTTGGAAGTCTGCATTGTGAAGTGCGCAATAAAAGTAAGTTTACTTGCATGCGTTTTATACAGGGTGAGTAAAAAAAAACGAAACCCAAATGTTGGGATCATTGTTTTGGGGAAGTTCTGCATGTAGCAATTTTAAAATCTGGGATATGAAAGCCAGATTCATCAGCTTTCTTTTAGTATAAGAATCATTCAAATCACTCATGTACTTTTCAAGTTACAGAATTTTAAACACAGCCACCGTTTTAGGGTTCTGTCCACGGATCACAAAAAAGTGTTCTTTCAACAAAACGGATGTGTGTGAATTGTTTTCGATTTGCTGAAAGAACGCACACCTTTTTTGTGATCCGTGGACAGAACCTTAGAACGGTAGTTGTGTTAAAAAAAATCCGTAACTTAAAAGTACATGAGTGACTTGAATGATTTTTGTACTAAAAGAAAGCTGATGAATTGGGCTTTTATATCCTAGATTTTGAAAGTGTTACATGAAGGACTTCAATAAAACAGTAGTCCCGACATTCTTGGTTTCGTTTTTTTGACTCGCCCTGTACATCCCATTGTGTAAGTTTGTGAGGTTAAGAACCGGGGGAAACTGAACGCTTCGGACAGTGCTCTGCCCGTCGTCAGTGGACTGAGGGAATTGAATATTGCAGTGAAGCACCCGCGTACCAAGAAGGACAGAAGATTCTGGATTGTAGTTAATTAGCGTCACTTTTCACTTTGTGTAGCCTTTGCAAACGTCATGGTGCTGTAGACGGCCAAACGTGCCACATAACCAAGTTGCCCGGTAAAACGTGATATCGTGATTGGATTCGTATTGTGAAATGCTTTTCATTCAAAATCCGAACTGGAATTTTATTTGGGTTTCACTTTTAAGTTGACGTGTTCCAAGCAGAATAGAATACAGGGTGAGTACGAAACCCAGTTAGCAGGACCAATTTTCGAATGAAGTTTTGCCTGTAGCACTTTCAAAATATAGGACATAAAAGCTCAACCAATAACCTTTCTTTTAGTACAAGAAACATTCAAATCACTTATGTACTTTTCAAGTTAGGGAATTTTGAACACAAACACCGTGTTAAAGTTCTGTCCACGGATCACGAACAAGTAAGTGTTTTTTCAGCAAAACGAAATCGATTCACACACATAACGTCAATTGTTTTCGTTTTGCTGAAAGAACACTATACCTTTTTCACTTACCATACTTTCAATGGGGGCGCTGTTCAAATCCGACGATTATTAACACTATATCAAAAAAATAGTCTACATGTACCCCCCTAACCAAGCTGGCTCTGTCCGTTTTTGTGTGCAAAGGCGGACATTATTACCAGTACATTTTTTGGGGTGTCAGAGCAGGGGGGGGGGGGGGTTCGCATTTTTCCAAGAATTTCTATGGACAAAAAAGCAATTTTGACAGAGCTGGTTTTTTTTGACCCCCCAACTCCCCCGCCCCCCTGGATCCGCGCCTGAGAAGATCGTGAACTTGTTCTAGTGTGAGGTCTATAGGGTCCTTGAGCGTGGGGTCCAGTTGCAGTCCGTCTTTAGCAATGTTGCAGGAGTCGGTGGTGGGGACGTTGGTGACGAAAGAGATACGTCATTAAAGCAGGCAAACTCGCTAAAGGTTGAGCTTGAATACAATGATTTATTTCTGATCCCGAAAAAGTTATACCAGTTTTTAGATATAGCTTTCAAACAACAACCACACTTTGGTATTCAATTGAAGTTATATATAATATGAACAAATCTCATTGATTGACGCTTAATTCACTCAATACAATATTGTTATGCAGGTTCTGAAGCCCAAATATTTGTGAAGTTTACGATAATAACAGCTTTTATTAGACACATCAGTGTCTACTTCCTAAAATTATGCCAACTATTTAAAAATTACAGAGAAACCTTTACCTTCTTATATGACTTACCCCTTCTCCATACTTTTCATTTCCAAACGTCCCCATGTAAATACCCCGTGTTAATATATAGAACATGATACCTGTGTCGTCGTACCAACGAGCAACCAACATGCAGGCTACTAAAATATTTAAGCATCTTTTGCATGCTATACTTTGCCAACATTACACATTTAAGGTCACCATTTTTACACAATCACGCTATAGCGACACACATCCAGTGTAGAAGACAACAGTTTGCTGAAAGTTGGCATTACGTGACCACCATATCAAACTCTGTAAACGAAATGTAACGTGGTCTACAACAAAGGTGCAGGTTGGCGTAACCCCATGGTTTGTTTAATCAAAGGAATTTTACAACTCTCATTTTTATTTAGAAAAGTATCCTCTATTCCCTGTTCCTACAAATGGTATTTTGCTCTCCACTTAATGCATTTATGCTGTTCAATGTATCCTCCAAAATACAAGTCATTGAGCTGGAAACTCTAATTTACTGTGTTTATAGAATACAAAATGGCTTTATTGTGTTTAATTAAGGATAAGTGTTTTTGAATTGGTAACCTCCCAATAACATAATAACATATTTCCTTTGAACCCCCAGAATCAAAGGTTTGGACATTCCTTCTTTTTTTTTTACACTGAACACCATTTGTTCGTCTATGAATGCGTTATTGATAACTACAGGGTTAAGTCAAAACGAACTTGACCAAAATGAAAAAAAGTTATTTAACAAAAATGTGTGGCTCGCTCCATTTTACAAAAATAACATAGGGATTAAGTACATGTTATTGACTAGTAACTGTGATAATTTCACGTATTTGCATACCCTTTTCCCATGTTTTAATAACATATCACAAAACTCAGCCGTCAACCACTGATCAAACTGATGAATACCCATTAAATACGATGAAACATGGAGTTTTCCCACCTCTATGAATGAACGAAAACTTGCAAAGGGGTCATTCCATGTCAGACCAACGCACTTTTTTACCTCATGTCTTCTGATTTTAATAAAAATTGCTGTGCTTGTAGGTCCTAATGAGCAATGAATGCACACCAATTTTTAGCCCGATCCGACCTACCATGTGGTCAGGGCAGAAGCCACAAAAAAATGGCATTTTTAGAGTAAAATACCACCCTTTTGGTATAAATATGTCAAAACTATTGCAATTTTCATCAAATATATGTGAATTTGGTATTAAAATAATGAGGATTGCATGCTCAAATCACTTCTTTTGTCAAAATTAAATTTTGTGAAAAGTAGGTCACGTGACCTTTAATATGCTATTGTGACCTTTGACCCAATTTTTGTAATAATGTATCATTCCGAAAATCAACGAAATAAAAATAACTTGCTAGAGCATGTCTTCCTCTATCAGAATCTACTAAAAATCAGTTGGGGTCTTCAAAATTTACAACTTTATGACTATTTTTGTACAGTTGGTAGGTTACAAATGAGTCAACTTATAGACTTTACATAAGAAATACACCAACACAACTGACTATTCTGTTTCTTAAGTTAATGAAATTTATCTAGATTTTTATGTATAAAGTACAAAGCCAGGAAAAACAAAATTCTACCTTCTGATTCCAAAGAAACTGTCTAATCAGAATATTTGGACTCGGAAGTGTGCTAACCACTAACAGTAACCAGGCCTTCACCCAGTACAGCGGACTCACGTCCAGGTGAAATTCATCTCAAAGGAACAAAATGCCAAGTCTGTGAGAGTCATTAAAGTTCAAGAAGCACAGTGATGAATGAGTAAAGGTTACTTTGATTGTAATATTAAGTACTATCTTCAAGCAAACTTGAATCCTAGACCCTGATTAGTCCATCTATAGCAACAACTGTGTGATTTTATATAATATTGCACAGCTATATTGCACCCCAGATATTAAAAATGTACGTGTACATATGTTGTGTTATTTCCTGCTGAACGGACCAATACACTACATGTATGCATGTACATCTTCACCGCGTGTATGCATTTGATATCAAGTTTGCTTGAAGATAAATTGGTTATAAATCCCACTTGCGCTCGTGGAACACGGAATTATGTAGTGCATCGAGTGGCATATGGGTCACAGCAGCATTGCATTATTTCATATTCCAAGCGCGCTCGTGGGATAACTAATTATCAGTGGCACCCAGGAGGGGGGGGGGGGGGGCTTGAACCCACCCCCAACATTGTCAATTTGTTTGTTTGATTTTAGGCTAGTTTTGTTGGTCCAATCTTTTACAGAAATTTGAACCAAAAAAAATTTATGACGCCCCCCCCCCCACCAAAAGCCAAATCCTGGGTGCGCCACTGCTGATAATTTACACTATGAGTCTGGTTAGACCTCATCAGCCCTCAGAATGAGAAATTCACAAACCAAGATATATTTTAGAAACTTTAGAAACAGAATAGTAAGTTGTGTTGGTGTATTTCTTATGTAAAGTCTATAAATTGACTCATTTGTAACCTACCAACTGTACAAAAATAGTCATAAAGTTGTAAATTTTGAAGACCCCAACTGATTTTTAGTAGATTCTGATAGAGGAAGACATGCTCTAGCAAGTTATTTTTATTTCGTTGATTTTCGGAATGATACATTATTACAAAAAATGGGTCAAAGGTCACGAAAGCATATGAAAGGTCATGTGACCTACTTTTCACAAAATTTAATTTTGACAAAAGAAGTGCTTTGAGCATGCAATCCTCATTATTTTAATACCAAATTCACATATATTTGATGAAAATTGCCATAGTTTGACATATTTATACCAAAAGGGTGGTATTTTACTCTAAAAATGTCAGTTTTTTGTGGTTTCTGCCCTGACCACATGGTAGGTCGGATCGGGCTAAAAATTGGTGTGCATTCATTGCTCATCAGGACCTACAAGCACAGCAATTTTTATCAAAATCGGAAGACATGAGGTAAAAAAGTGCGTTGGTCTGACATGGAATGACCCAAAGGACAACAGACAATAGATCGCCATCAATATTTCAGGGAAAAAAATGACCTCTTCCTTATATATAAAACATAAATCTGACAGTAAAAATAATGTGTCAGTCTTGACTCAAATTATTAAAATCTCAGTTTTATACTTGAATGCATGTGTGTGTAATATGTCATTCTCACTCAGCTCAATATAGCTTCCAGTGGCATTCCATGGACAGCTGTAAAAGTGTTCTTTTAGTAAAACATGCAACTTCTGATAGCATGCACCAATTGCAGTATTTTTCCGCAGATGAGTAGAAGAACATACTGTTTGAAACATACTTCATACTTCATTGGTGTATCAAATTTGATTGTTTTTTAAGAAAGAAAAAAATAACCCAGGTCACTTTCTTTTTGACTCACCCTGTATCAAACACATTTTCTAAACTCCAAACTTAAAACTCAAATTTTTACAAAAACATTGTGTAATAACTATAAACGTTGTTTCTTGATGGCATTATATACAGGCCTGCGTGATATACAGTGGCAATATATCAAAACACTGCTTCGATACCTATACTTCGATGTATCTATACCTAGATGCATTTCACACAATACAGGCACATTATATACAAAAACACATAACAACAGCACAGTGAGTAACTGGTATAGCGCACTTAATGAGAGGGTTATCCAATTATTTATGGGCAAAATCAAAACAGGCTTTGTCTCAAGGATATATACTACCAAAAATATCGTGTCTTTGCCCGTTTTCTCTTAGATCGACCTGTAATACATTCATAGGTAGTACGTTTGGTGTGTCAATTTCGTAAGTTATTCATCATCCCATGTAGCCTACAGTTGTGATATTTGCATTCATTCGATTATGTCCGTCTAGAGAAAAAAAGGAAATGTGTCATTTCTTGACATTTGTGTTATTTGACAGAACATCGAACATTAACCACTGTTTTCGACGTTATTGTTTAAGATGTGTTATTTGTCAGATGGTATGATTATACTGATAAGTTGTTCTGAGATCTTTGGCCATGGACGTCATCACTGTAGAGAACTGGTTTCGTGGCGCTGCTTGACGGTTAGCAGAAAAGTTGCACTTATAGTGTAGCAGAAAATTGTGCAAACCTTAAGCACTATTTGATGCTGTGAATGTGCAAAATTATGCTACATATTGCCCGCGCACGTGAATTTTGATGTGCTTATTGCGAACAGTCTTCACGAAATAGACGAAAACACTGTTTTAGCAGAAAATCATGTACTTAGCAGCGCCTGCAGCTTTGGAGGCTTGGAAGATATGAGAGAAAAGAACACTGTTGTGCAAAAAATGGAAATCGCGGTTGGTACATTGCCACACGGCCAAGTTGACTATATAAACGTGATATTGTGATTTGTGTTATGAAAAGGTTTTTCATTTAAAATCCGAACTTGATTTTAGTTGGTTTCACTTTTATTTTTTCAGGAAACATTCTTGCACGATGGTTTTGATGACGGACGTCGTAAGTCACGACGACTAGATAAATAAATTCTGCTTTCTCGACAATTATGAAATAATTGCCCAATGTATAATATTTAATCGAAAGATGACATAATTCAGGGTATAGGCCTACACGAAATTGCGCAAGGCTGTTTTTATACTAACATTGCCATCTAGGCATTTTTCGGTTATTAACTTGACGTGCGGTTTACAATCAACAAAATCTTCCTTTACATTTTTGTCGACTCCGCTGAAGCCATTTGAGAAAGGAAAGCTGTGGCGGCTAATACTCTAATTTCACCAAGTTGGTCATTTGGGACTGTGCAAGCCTGATTCGTGACTTATCGTCAGCGGTCAAATCGCAGGATTTCAGAGACAAAATCTGAAGCTGTTTCATATCGGTCAGGAGAGACCATAAACGACGTGCTTCCGCAAGGGTGAAATTGCCAGACAGATCCAATTCGACAAGGTTGGGCATGTTACTTAGTGCCGCGGAAATGTACTTTATGTCAAACCTTTTCAATTTGCAGCAACTCAAGACCAGTTTGCCGAGAGCTTTGATTTGAGCTAAGTGTGACCATGAACGGCTCGAACCAGCAAGCATCTCATTGTAAGACAGATCCAATTCTTCAAGGTTGGGCAGATTACTCAGTGCCACGGCAATATGCTCCATATCGCGCGCTATCAAATTGCAGGAACGCAAACACAGTTTACGTATAGTTTTCAATTCTGCTAGGTGAGACCATAAGTCATCTGAGCCTCCAAGGGCCTGATTGCCAGTCAGATCCAATTCATCAAGGTTGGATATTTTACTCAGGGCCATAGTGATGTACCCCATGTCACCCACTGTCAAGTTGCAAGAGATAATTTTCAGTACCTGAATGTTTTTAATTTCCGAAAACTGAGACCATAAACCACCTGACGCAGAGAGAGTCGGATTGTGCGACAGATCCAACTCCACAAAGTCGGACATATTTTTCAGTGCCCTGGCGATGTGCTCAATGTGATCTCCCGTCAACTTGCAGTATCCCAAGTCCAGGTTTTGGAGATTCTTTATTTTCTTCAAATGAGATAATGCCTCACCATCGTAACGAAGCATATTGCTCGACAAGTCCAACGCAAGAAGGTTTGGCATATTACCTAGTGCCATGACAATGTGCTCTATGTTATCTTCTTCTAATGAGCATCCAGACAGGATGAGTTTCTTGATACTTCTCATATTTTCAAACTGGGACCATGAACCACATGAGCCAGTGAGATTCTTGTTGTAAGACAGATCCAATTCAACAAGGTTGGGCATATTACTCAGTGCCGCGGAAATGGGATCCATGTCATCCCACGTCAATTTGCAGGCACTCAAGCAGAGCTGCTGGATATTCTTCATTTTCGCCAGGCTAGACCATGAACTACATGAGCCAGCAAGAGTCTTGTTGCGAGACAGATCCAATTTAACGAGGTTAGTCAGATTACTCACCGCCATGGCAATGTGCTCCACGTCATCCCCTTTCAAATTGCAGGAAGAAAATTTTATTTCCCCGACATTTTTTAATGCCGCCAAGTGAGTCCACGAATCCCCTGAACCAGTAAGAGTCACATTGTCAGACAAATTCAAGTAAAGATTTGGAATGTGACTAAGTGCCCCAACAATGTTCTTCGTGTCGTTACTTGCGAAGTCGAAATTGTATAATTTCACATTCTTCAGCTGCGTTAATTCGTTCATGCGTAGAGAGGAAAATTCTAACACACAGTTCCTTTCAATGCGTTGACCAGTCGGATTTTTTACTAAGAGATCTACATTTAATTCCGAAAGATGTGTCATTTTGTTCACGTAGCATGCAAATTGTGCACCAAATCGCAGTAAGCTACTCTCTCGTGCTACCACGCTATGTATTTCCAGGCTGTGAACCTTTTCAAAGTAAGCGTTCTCGTCAGCCTTTGTGTGGTCAGTAACGTTTTTAAAGAAGTACATCAACGATGTGAAATAATCACTACTGAAATCTCTGATTGTGATTGTGTATGCCAAAACCGAATTGATTAACTGCAACGGTGGTAATGTCTGGGACTGACTCTCAAAGTAACAGTTTAGGGCTAATTGTAAGTTTCCATCGTGAAGAATTCCCGCATGTTCTACTTTATCTAACAAAAATTGCAAAATTGAGTTTGTACGGCGTCCATCTTTGTCACCGCAGCAAAAGCGCAGGAGATAATCAAATCCTACTGACTTACGGGTTTGATGAAAGAACTTTGCAAATTGTTCGTCATCTTTTTCACTAAAGTCTTCACTTTGGAAGAATTTGGCAGCACAGAATTCCTGGAATGTCTTATGAATGAAATAAACACTGTTACTCGTATCGAGGCTTTTTTTCTTCTGTACTCGCTGGCTGGTGAGGATGCCAGCTCGTATAGCCATACGAAGCACATCTGGATCAAAATCTTCCTCCCGAAATGAAAGCGTTTGATCAGATGCAAGAAGGCCACGCAGAGCAACCTTTCCAATCGCAATAATGAGCTTTGATATTTCTTCTGGAGATATCATTTTTATCTTTCGTTTGAATATGTATTTTAGTGCCTCATCGTACAAGCGTGACATTGTATCGGGGAGTTCGGAACTCACTCTCCATAACAAGCACATCAACAACAGTATCATGGGACTCCTTGCCAAATCGTACAGAACCTCCGAGGATTTTATCCTCTCAAGAAGCCCAGAAGCTCGGAAACTTTCTTCAGAGTAAAATTTGTGCACATATTCCTCAATGTCATCTTTGTTAAACCCCAAAACATTCACAAGAACAAAGGGCCTCTCAATCAAAGAGCCCTTTGCCAGTTTGTCATAGTGAGAGGGGCGAGTTGTTACAAGTACACTGCATTTGTCATACTCACCCTTTCGATTAAGCATTTTGAGAAGTGAACCGAATTTCGTCTCATCAAGTTCAGTGGTCTTGAATTCATCAAAACCATCCAACAGAAACAAAACTTCGTCAGGCCGGGTCGTAATGAAGGATTTCAACTCTTCTCTATCTATGTCCTTTTCATCTAATAACTGATCAAACACTGAGTCTATTACATCTGAATCCTGTGTCAGAGAATGCATTTTCAATACGAAAACTAACTTATATTTCTTCAGTACAGCGACAGAGCCACAAGCCCAATCGTAAGCAATTTTATCGAGAAGAGTCGTTTTACCTAGACCAGCCAATCCTCTCAAAATTGCCCGTATAATTGGATGACCATCTCTGGATTTGATTTCGAAAATATCCTCGTATGTTTCTACTTTTCCCTTTAAATCATAATCGCCCTTTTCTAATTGTAACTTAGTGTAGATGTCCATAATATGTTTTTTGTCATCATCCATCCATGGCATCATCTGCACGTAACTACCCGTATTTTGATAGATATATTTTAGCGTCTTCTCGCACTTATCTGCAGCAAGTTGGGCTGGATCAGGTCGAGCCTCGTGTAGTGAACTGAATCCTGATTGTTGTCCTCTCTCTGTGCTTGACTGACCCATTTCTGCAATGTAGAGTAATACAAGAAATTTGAAATATCAGTGACAGAAAGTTCTCGTTCCCTGTTGCAATCAGTTCATTCCGAATCAAATACTGATTTGAATTTTAATATTCTGATTTAAATAAACAAAAGCTGATTTTTGTTACAAAAAAAAAATCGCCAACCCTGTAGATTACTAATGAGCACTGATTACGCCAACGGTTCGGTGTGCCGTTATCTAGTCTTTAAAGGTAGTATCAAATGTTTGTTTACAACGTGCGCATACATAAAAATGTGGATAGTCGTAATTCCCAGGTGAATCCTGCTAAGGATACGAAAGATTATCGGACTCAACAATCGAACTGCGTGGGGATTTACCTTCTGAACCAGTAGGCATGTCAGTAAGCGGTATCCCTTGTTCACTGTCGTCTTCCTGGCTCCTTGATGAGCGACGCCGCCGCTCTACAAATACATTGAAGAAGTGAATTTCTATTTTGGTCAAGTTGCGATTAATTGGCTCCCTTTTAGTGATAAATAGTGAATGGATTTTTTTTGTTCACTTGGTTCTTTTGCTTTTCTGTGTGAGAATCACGTTGTGCTGAGTAACAAAAACACATTACATTTCATACCTTTTGTCTTCTGTTTTCGATGTCTACCAACGACATTATCTCCGATTAATAATCTCACTAGAGAGAGAAAGACAATAAACCATATAATTTAGATCAATGATTAAGGCCGACGTTAAAGTAAAATGTATCGCGTGTACATACCGCGTATTGATAATAAAGTGAAAATGTAAGGGATGGGGCTTTGTTTAATGAAATCGATTGTGATAGAGTTATTTATTCCATTCACTTTTACAGTAAAGAATATAATTCTTGGTTAATGATTTTCACTTTAAGATGACTGTAAAATCTAAACCGATAAACGCTCAGCCTGTTTGCAAATGGTAATCACTCCTGAAAGTCAGGCCCGTCGCCAGCCCTGAGCGTCGGGGGGGGGGGGGGGGGGCAAAGTACCAACTAGGGGGCCCACTACCTTTAAAATTCTAAAATACACACCATGTCTTTTGCCGTTGGCGGAGGGGGGGGGGGCAATTGCTCGCCCAGGCCCCCCTTGACGACGGGCCTGCTGAAAGTAAATATTCCAGCTATACCGGCTTTAAGTGTGGATCAGGGAAGGAGGAGGAGCAGCATTGTTCAACGTTTAAGGCGCTGACTTGGAAGGGTTGTGCCTCTTGGGAGCCTCGTGTTCTGAAGGGGCACTCAATGAGTTTTAACCCAAAACCAAAACCTACTTTTCGCTTCCCCAAAATTCTGACGGGATGGAATTGGCACAGGCCTTGAGCGAAAAGGAAGTTAAGACCATGTATGCGTGACCCTTCAAAATAATCATGACCTTTTTTGCTGGTCTCAGCCTAGTATCCTCTCAGCTCTGACTGACCGACCCAGCCTGACTCTGAGTTGTTACTTGCACTGGTCCTGCTGGACCAGCATTACGTAGCTTGATTAGTCATTGTACAAGCTAATCTTCATAATGTGTATTACACCCACACCGCTTGTTTGATGCTCTTTCATAGTACAGGCAAAATACTTCATTTGCATGATTTGCATAAATCCAAAATGGCCGCATATTTTAGGACTTTCGCACTGATTTGGTCATATTTCATATATTAGATAGCTTTTGAGGTATTTCAAACAACAATTTTAGTCCTTGTACATTGATTTACTCATTATTCTAGACCTTAGTTACTTTCAATATCCCTATGTTTCCCAAATTTGCGATATGCCGATAATAATTTGCGTAAATGCCATTTATTAATTTGCATAGATTAAAGTTAAAATATTGCCGTCCTGTGTGGACATGTCACAATTAAATTGTCCTGATAATCTTAGTTCAGTCATGTACACAGATACATTTCACACCATGGTGCATTGCTATAAGGTTCCTTAAAAAAGGGAAGAAATCCAAGTGGTGGAAATATGCCTAATTTGCATAAATTCAAAATGGCAACTAATTACATGATTTCTGATTTGGCCATAACTCTCGTCCTGAATTGCTTTTTGGGGTACTTTGAACAACCATTTGTCATTTGACATTGATTTCATCATCATTCCAGTTCTGGGTACCTTTTGAGATCCTTTGTTTCCTATGGGGTATAATGTTTTTGTTAGGTTTCTAGCTCTTGTCAAAGTTGGTATAAGTGTTGGAAAATGTGATATCCCTGTGTCGCAGAGCGAACCCTTGCGCCGCTCTACTCAGACCAAAAATCAAGGAAGAACTCAAGACCAGAGGATTCAAAATTAAATTATATATTACGGAAAAGAAATAACCAAAACCCGCAAAACTCAATTCGAAAATACGTGGGCGAGGGTTTTATATGGTCATTTAAAAAAACTCAGAAAATAAAAGGAATAATTTTAACAGTCCTGTGACACCCTGTGCATGAACTCATTTCAGGGACAAAAAAAAATCCCTACTTTAAATCCATTAGTACACTGCATAGGGATATCATATTTTGCAACACGTATGCCAACTTTGAGATGAGCCAAAAACCAAACAAAAAATATTGTACCCTATTTTTTGATATTTTGTAGAAAACATGTTGGGGTTTAATTTTCATCCAAGTTTGTCTCAATGTCGGGTGATCCACTAGATCAAATTCAAGGTCAAAGTAAAGGCCAAAATGTCATTATACTTAAAATAACCCCGACATGAAAAACAATGGTAACTTTCGATTTCTCATGGTGTAACCTTCCAAAAGAAATCAAGATTTTGTAGAAAACATGTTGGGGTTTAATTTTCATCCAAGTTTGTCTCAATGTCGGGTGATCCACTAGATCAAATTCAAGGTCAAAGTAAAGGCCAAAATGTCATTATACTTAAAATAACCCCGACATGAAAAACAATGGTAACTTTCGATTTCTCATGGTGTAACCTTCCAAAAGAAATCAAGATTAACAAATTTGGCTCACAGATTATAGAGATATGGTGATTTAAAAATGGCAGCAATGTCCATTTTTACCAAAATTGCCTGGGCGGTAGCGCGAAAACCGTTTGTCCGATGGCGCTAAAACTTAAAATTTCGGCTTTTTAGCCGAAATTTCCCCATAAACTAAATATGAACCAATTAGAAGAGGTTGGGGTTTAAAATGTAAAAGTTTTTGGGGGTGATTTGGCACTGAATGACCCCAATGTCAAATATCAAAATGTTGTTTAAAGTACCCCGAAAAGCAACTTAGGACGAGAGTTATTAGATAGTATATTATGTCGTATTTTTGGCCATTGCATTTTTCTTTGCTAAAGAAGAAATTTTTCTCATATTTGGATAGAGTTTACCTTCCTAAGCTGGAAATCCATTGGTAACATTTTTTACCCATCTACCATGTGGCGCGGCCGTCTTGGAAATCAAAATGGCCGCCATTTCGGGCCTAATTTGTATCTAACTTCGGACCTGATTGTCATGTGTTCATTTTGATGGCAAACCCCATGTTTTTGATACCAAGGAACCCGAGAAAATCATTGTTGATGGGGTATACTCCCAGTGGAGTACCCCATCAACAATGATTAACTTGGGTTCCTTGGTATCAAGAACATGCAGTTTGCCACCAAAATGGACTTCATACGACATACGCTAATTTTGAATATCCAATATGGCTGCCATCCATTTGGGATGCCTAAATGTGTTAATTGGAGTCCTTGGTATCAAATTAATGGGGTTTGCCAGCAATAGTGACTTCATACGACATTCAAGTCCAAATTTAATATGCAAATTAGTTCAAAATGGCGGCAATTATGAAATATCCAAGATGGCTGCCATCAATTGTGAGTACCCCGTCCACAGTGATTTACTTGAGTTCATTCAAAAACATGGACTTCATGGGACATTCAGGTGCAATGTTAATATAAATGAAATCCAAGATGGCGGCTATTTTGAAAAATCCAAGATGGCTGCCATCCATCTGAGATACATTATCAGCAATGGGTCATTAAGATTACTTGGTATCAAATGTATGGGGTTTGCCACCGAAATTGACTTCGTACGACATTCGAGTCCGAATTTATTATGCAAAAAAGCCGAAAATGGCGGCTATTTTGAAATATCCAAGATGGCTGCCATCTATTTGGAGTACATCGTAAACAATAATGTACTTGGGTTCCTTTGTATCAAAAACATGGGGTTTGCCATCAAAATGAACTTTATGTGACAATCAGGTCCGAAGTTACATGATACATAATTAGGCTCGAAATGGCGGTTATTTTTAAATCCAAGATGGCCGCCACATGGTAGCTGGGAAAAATGTCTCCAATGCATATCCGATCGACTTAGGGAGGTAAACTCTTTCCAAATATGGCAAAAATTCCTTCTTAAACAAAAAAAAATGCAAAAGTACATGAACATCATGTAATTAGCGGCCTTTTTAATTTATGCAAAATTAGGCATATTTCCACCACTTGGTTTTTTCACAACTTTTTAGGGACCTTATAGCAATGCACTGTCCTGTGAAATTTGTCTTGGATTATCAGGGAAAATTCAATTGGTACATGTCCACACATGGCATTCATTATTTTAACTTTAATTTAGGCAAATTGATATACGGCATTTATGCAAATTTATACGGCATTTGGAAAATTTCGGAAACATAGGGATTTGAAATTTACCTAGGACTATAATAATGAGTAAATCAATGTAAAAGGACTAAAACTGTCGTTTAAAGAATCTCCAAAATCTACCTAGTATGAGAAATATGACCAAATCAATGCGAAAGTCCTAACATATGCGGCCATTTTGGATTTATGCAAATAAGGCATATTTCCACCACCTGGATTTCTTAAGACTTTTAGTATGTCATTTTAGGGACCTTATAGAAATGCACTGTGATGAAAAAAAATTCGGTTGC